GTGATAATCCTGAAGATATTCCATGATGATGTGTAATACTGAAACCTATACAAGTGCTGAATTTGAGAATCATTTGCTTCCATTCGTGTTTTTAAAATCAACATCTGAGATTTTTACTTTTTTGATGATTATGTCTACCCAATACCATGATTATTGTAAGTCCTCAATATCTTTTATCTATCAATGAATTACCATGCAATATATCCATTTTGATGGTATTCCCAAGCACCTGTATATTCATTCAGTAATTGTCATTACATGTTCGATAGATCACATTACACACACACATAGTGAATATTCGAACCGACACATACAACCAGACAGATGTATACATAAGCGCCCTTCCGTTACACCTAACTGAAAAGTACAGTAAGGAAAAGATGTTAGCTCTTCTTTAATGGTTGTCAGTGGCACAGGTTCAGTTTCTTTCCCGGCGTTTATGTCTTCCAAACCAACTTGTCTCCTTCACATCCTTTTTGCGTCTACTTCACGCCATCACCATTCTCGTAGGATTAGTGTTCATATTAGCAGTCTTATCACCATTATTATCACAATTACTCATCATTGTTATTATTTTCATTATCATAATAATAATAGATATAATTATTACCATCATAATGATGAATATCACCATTATTGTCATAATGATAATAAATATGATTATCATTGTATCACCATTATTATTAGAAATATTATTATCATCATTATCATTGATATTATCATTATCATCATTATTACTAGTAGACTTTTCCCCCGTGTGATTCCCCCCCCCCCCGCCCCCAGAGCGCGTGGTGGTAGTCGTAGGACTCCTTCCAGCAGGGACCCGGGCCTTCCCCTCACCCCCTACGCCCCTAGAGTCGTGATCCGATCCTGAAGGACGACCGCTCGCAGGACGCCTACGGGGGCTACTCCTTCTCCTACGGCACAGGCAACGGCATCTACAGGGACGAGGTCGGCCGACAGAACTACGGCCAGGTCACACAGGGAGGCTGGAGGTGAGTGGGGGAAGGGAGGAAGGGAGAAAGGGAGAGGGGAGAATGGGGAGGGGGGGAAGAGGAGAGGAGGAGAAGGACAAGGAGATGGAAGTGGAAAGGGGGATGAAGGGGAGGAGGAGGAACGAAGAGGAAAAGGAGGAAAGGAAGGGGAAAATGACAGGTGGGAGGAGGACTAGATGGAGAGGGAGAAAGGAGAAAATATTACTTAAGATGTGATTGTTTTTATTACTATCTTTATCACTTTATTGTTCGCAGAAGTAATATTAATAATAGTAGTTGTAGTATCGTCATTATCATTATTATCATTACCATTTTTATTACGGTTATCATTATCATATTGTTTGTAGCACTACCAATTATTGTCATCGGTACGACTTTCACTGGTTGTAGAAGTACTTTCCATTTCCTCATTAGCTTCACCATCATTATAAACTATCACTATTGTTATCAATATTATCATTATCACTAATTATCATTATTATCATTATTACTATTATTATTACATTATTAGTAGTATTGTTGCTGCGGTCATCATTATTATTTTTGTTCTTATTATTACTATTATCACTATTAGTATTAATATCATTGTTGCTATTATTAGCATTATTTTTGTTATTATTATTGATACAATCATCATTAACATTATCTTTATCTTTCTTATTATCATTGTCATTGTAATTACTGCTTCTGGCGTTGTTGATGCAATTTACGTTTTATTGCGTTATCAATATCGCCATCCCCCCCCCCCCCCCAGCTACACCTCCCCCGAGGGCGTCCCGGTCAAGATCACCTTCGTGGCCGACCAGGGGGGGTACCAGCCCTCCGGCAACGTGCTCCCCGTGGCCCCCGCCCTCCCCTACTCCAGGACGCAAGTCTACTGAAGAAGGGAGAGGGTAATGAAGAGTAAAAGGAAGAAAATATAGAATTAAGAGAGAAAGAAAATAATCGTTGATATTATAAACGAGAATAAAAGCCGAAGAGGAAGAAATCATGAAGAGAAAATTGAGAAAGAAAAAAATGTTTTTTTTTTTCTCTCTCTCTCTCAATTTCTTGGCCATTCACTTAATTATTATTCTTTTACATTTTCTTGGTTCTTTCGAATCAAGTTACTTTTTAATATCTTCATGATTGCTTACTTTGATAAGCTTTATTTCTTCCTAGCATTATTATTTTATTATTACTTATTAAAATTATCATTATCAATATCATCATTATTACTAATATTATTGCTATTATCTTTATAATAATCTTTATCATTACTGTTCTTATTTTATCATTGTTGTTATTATTAATATCGTTATTTTTATCATCATTATTAATTCTTATTATTCATTTATCAACTGTTTAACATTGTTTTACATTTTCGCTGCATTTTGTTCATCCTTAATATGTTTTCCTTTATCGTTGTTATGGTCTTGGCACTGACGAAGGGAGGTGCCTGGCGTGCTGGCCGCGTTCGCTTGTTTTGTTGTACTTGTCATGGAGTGAATAAAGATCCAGTGCAA